AAGCTTGTTCTATTTGCTGAATTTCATTATTAGATAAAGATTCTTCTTGAAGCACGATAGCTCCTTGATCAGTAGCTACTCCTTTCCCTTTTAAGCTCAGTTTTGCCAGTTTTTTTACTAATTCATCAATCATTTCTTTATTATCGTCTTTCTTCTTTATTCCTTGAAGGCTAAACTGTTCTTTAATGAGTATTGGAGGAGGTTTGAACAAAAGGGCTTCTTTTTTGGTGTCGATTGTTTTATTTTGAGGTTTAGTAATGATATTTTCTATTCTCGTTGTTTGCTTTCTAATAGTCTGAAGGTAAAGATTGGTATAATTATTTTGTTCAATAATACGAGGTATGACATCTATTTTATGAGTACGATGTTCTGTCTCTTTTGGAAGAACTTTATCGGGAGAAGCTTTAGTTTCTGGTTTATCTTCTAGTGCCCCTTTAAGTTCGAGGCTTTTTTTAAAAGGATGAATACTATGTACTTCTTCTCCTTTTGTTGTATGGAAGGTTTGATATTGGTTTTCTAGAGTATTAAGGCCAAAATTTGGAATTGGTATTTCCTTTTCTTTTAGGGTATATCTTAACCAGTCAAAGAACTTTAAATTCTGTTTAGCTTTCTTTATGGATTTATTGAATTTTTTTTGGAATGCATCCAATAATTCTTGGGGAAATTCAGCCAGATACCAATCTCGTATTTCTTTATTTTCTTCAGACAAGAAGTCGTTTTTTATTTCTTCTTTATCTATTTTGAATTTTTCTTCTTTCTGAAGAGTAAGGACATTAAAGTCTAAATCAGATGTTGTGGGTTCTTTATCTGGAGAGCTAGGTTCATATATTTTATACATTGGTTGCTGTATATGGCTGTTTGTTCTAGTTAGCCCATCTATTATAGGTCTTGTAGAAGTTTTTCTTTGTTCAGTTTGTTTTATTTTGAGGTTTAGTAATGATATTTTCTATTCTCGTTGTTTGCTTTCTAATAGTCTGAAGGTAAAGATTGGTATAATTATTTTGTTCAATAATACGAGGTATGACATCTATTTTATGAGTACGATGTTCTGTCTCTTTTGGAAGAACTTTATCGGGAGAAGCTTTAGTTTCTGGTTTATCTTCTAGTGCCCCTTTAAGTTCGAGGCTTTTTTTAAAAGGATGAATACTATGTACTTCTTCTCCTTTTGTTGTATGGAAGGTTTGATATTGGTTTTCTAGAGTATTAAGGCCAAAATTTGGAATTGGTATTTCCTTTTCTTTTAGGGTATATCTTAACCAGTCAAAGAACTTTAAATTCTGTTTAGCTTTCTTTATGGATTTATTGAATTTTTTTTGGAATGCATCCAATAATTCTTGGGGAAATTCAGCCAGATACCAATCTCGTATTTCTTTATTTTCTTCAGACAAGAAGTCATTTTTTATTTCTTCTTTATCTATTTTGAATTTTTCTTCTTTCTGAAGAGTAAGGACATTAAAGTCTAAATCAGATGTTGTGGGTTCTTTATCTGGAGAGCTAGGTTCATATATTTTATACATTGGTTGCTGTATATGGCTGTTTGTTCTAGTTAGCCCATCTATTATAGGTCTTGTAGAAGTTTTTCTTTGTTCAGTTTGTGGTATAGACGAAATA